TTCTGTAGTAACTTACGATAATTCACTCGTTTACGCGGAGTAAATTATCGTAAGTTACTACAGAAGTAACGCTCGCGTAAACGTAGTATATGTACATACATTAGATTAATGATATTAATATGTACAATATACTCTTAGGGGAGAGTGGGAGAACCATGTTTTGAAAGAGCCATTTCAACCAACTGATTGTAGCAAAAAATTTTAAAATATTTTTATTTCATAGCAACACTGAAACTACGTCATCCATAGACATTTTAGTGTTGCCGTAGTGAGGTAAAAGATTATTACGACAAAAAGTAAGTTTTTGAGTTAAATTTCCATGTCTTTTCCATTTATTTGCAATTAGCTTTTAGGAAAAGTATTTTTTTAATTAAATGCTATATATACTAACCTAACTAAAAACGTAGTTACAACTCTTTCGTTTGTTTTGGTTTATCAGATATTTTGTGGTTAAATTTTTTACACATAGTTATGATAGTTATGAAAGAGTCGGTGATGAAAGAAACAACAATAACTGTGTCTGTTCAAAAGATTATTCTGTAAGTAATGAAGATTGGTATCAGTGCAAGTTGTGCAATGGCTTTTATAACTCATGTTGCAGTAGAGAAAATTTTTATTTCTTTTGTAATAAGTGTGTTTTTGATTTAAAATATTATATTTTCTATCTTTCAGATATTTATTAGTTTTCTAAGAAGATAATTTTTGCTAAAGGATAACATACTTTGATTTTGTGTTATTAGCTTAATTTATTAGTACCTGGCTCAACAAAACGGGCTTTTTCAAAGCCATGTGTTAAAAGAGCCAAATTCTTTATCTTTAAAAAAGTGATTAAAATCTGTTAATGACTAAATATTATTTTGTTAAATTGATCTTATAGATAAATAAGTACACTTAAGTTAGAAACCGGTTTTACTTCATTAACACCAGATTAAATACCTTTTTCATATTTTGAAAAATACTAGCTCTTTCATGCCCATTCTCCCCTATAATAAATAGTAATTTTTTGAAAATTTGCAGCTAATCTTTAACAATAACATTTATATCTTTAATGTTTATTTCATTAATTTGTTTATTTTCATAATATCTTATTAAAATATCCTGATTTTTCGATACATAGATATATCTGAAATTGTCATATGATAAATTTCAAACTAACAGTCTAAACAAACTATAATTAAGGCTGCTAATAAAATTTCGAAAAAATCAAATGTATGTAAAAAATAGTTTCAAACAACGAAAAACTATTTTTTAACCCTCCGTAGTCACACCTATTTTTTCATACAAGGAAGTCACTCTGGGTCATTTTGACCCGAGACGAACTTTGACCGTTTGCCATTTGACCATTTATCCACCGATCGTGTTGAAAAAATTCTCGAATGCACTTGCGATATTGCTAAATTGATTGCTATAAAAAAAGAAGGGCCTCAGGAATTTTTAACATATAAAAAAAATTCGCAAAAAATTTGTTTAAAAAATTTTTTTTTTTAACTACAGCTAAAGGGCGTCATGCCCGCCAATTTTCAAGTTACGCGCAAGATATTTACGAGCAAAGTTGAGGCTCGGGTCAAATTGACCCGGTGTGACTACGGAGGGTTAATTGGCCAAAACATTTTTCACAATGAATTGTATTAAAATAAAATGTTTTACCTAAGGATGGATCATATAATCCACCCTTTAATGGATGTCCAAGAATGTTAAAAGATAATGGTGTTCTGATTTTCGTTACACTCAAATTCCTTATATCATTTGCTGTGAAAATTGAGAACAGTAAATGCTGGGAATCTTGATGTTTCGGTGTTAAACGCTGCCTATGGTATTTACTCATCTTGATATTTCTCTAGCATTCACAAGTCTGTAAAAAAATATTGAATAATAATGTAATAATCAGAGATGATATGTATAAGAGCTGTCAATTAACAGTAAGTCCCAGATTCGATTTTGACTCTCATTCCATATATGCCTTGATTTGTAAGAAATTGATTGAGGAGTTGAAGATTAATAGTAAAAAAGAGTATCCAACTGTTATAACCTATTTTGGAAACAATAAAAATAAAACATAGTGTAATAAGTTTTTATGAAATGTTAATATAAACGGCACTATTTAACTTTTTTGAAATTTCAGTAATTAAATAATTATATGAGGAAGGTCTCTTTACTTCTTGACTTTGACAAAAGTTATTACATATTTGAATTGTAACCAAAAATTAAATTAAATTAAAATTACCGTTCTGAAATATAATAATATAGTCGCTTACGATATTCCACACTGGTTCATACCAAACGCTGTCAAAATATTTTAATTATAGAAACAAGGTAAACATATTGAGACCTTTACGGCAAGCGATACAAGTCGATGTCTTTGTTACTCATTGTTACTCATTGCCAAAAAAGAAAAATAGAACGACGTTTATGTGTCGACTTGTGTCGCTTGCTGGAAAGCTCCCGTTGATTAATAAAATGCTAAACATTATCACATTTTTTAGCAGAATTACACTTAACCTAATCTAATCAAATTTAGTTATTTTATAAGAAACTTATATTTTTTTAACATAAAATACAGATTGCGAATAAAATAATCGTTGGCTTAAAATGTTGCGTTTATTATATCAACTGAACGTGCTGAGAAATGGAAGAATTATTTGTGTACACAGTACTTAAAATTTTGGTAATTATAAAGGAAAGGGGTTTCTCACCAATTTGGCTCTGAAACTTCACAATTTTGTGCATTTTGGTGCGTAAATCATGAATCTATAAGTTAAAATAGTCGCTCTTAAGGTAGTCCTAATATCACAATAGTAGTGCGGTTGGACTCGATTTAGGTTA